TCTCTCTCTCTCTCTCTCTCTCTCTCTCTCTCTCTCTCTCTCTCTCTGAGTATTACTCATGGCAGTGTGTTGCTGAGCAGCAGCCATTGGTGTTTTTCCCCTCTTCGAGCTCACTCACTCTCATCCTCTGCTCTGATTCTCACACACTCCGTAGCTCTAAGGACTCGGCTTCTAGTTTGTTATTTTTCTTTTCTTTTTCTTTTGACAACAACATATCTCCCCATTCTCCCTTCTCACCCCCCACCCCCCACCCCAGTGCCTGGGGCATTAGGAGTACCTGTGCGTGTATGTGTGTGTGAAAGCAGGTGTGTGTGTATGAGTGTGTGTGTTGAGGGGTTTCAGCATGGAAGCAGTGGCACTTTATACGTTTCGTGCCACAGAGGGGGATGAACTCAGTTTCAACAAGGGAGACATGCTCAAGGTAAGAAAAAGTTTTCTTTCTTTCTTTCTATCTTGCTCTTTCTATCAATCTATCTATCTATCTATCTATCTATCTATCTATCTATCTATCTATCAATCATAGTCTTAAAACTAAATTATTGATAGCTCAATGATTTATTTTAAAAGGTATAAGATCTATAAACATTATAGTCCTCACTTTAGCAGGAGCCAAGTCTGTAACTTCGTAAAAAATCAATTTAATACAAAAACGTAAAAAAAAAAAAAAAAAAAGATGTTAGCCTGGAAGAGGTACTTTGATACTTTTTAGACTATCTTTTGTCATGGTCTGTATTGTGTTCAAGTTTTGCCTCCGTCTTTTGCCTTCTGATGTTTGATGTTTTATTTGTGGGTTAGCTCGTTTCCTTTTTGCGTTGATGTGCACTGGTCTGCGTTACTTCATTTCTTTTGTTTTTGGTAGAAGTCATTCTGCCCGGTTACTACAGTTAGTTTCCATCATGCTCTTTGACAAAGATGTTGTTTGCTAACTGCCACTTCAAGTTCAAGTCAGGTTTATTGTCATTCTCATCGCATGTGGTACATGAGGTGGAACGAAATTATGTACACAAGGTCCCAGTTACAGCCAAGAATAGCAAAAAGATAAAGTGTATAAAGAAGTACAGTATAAGGATCTAAGATATACACTAAACACGAATGATGCAAAACGATACGGCATAACAACAGCAGCCCGAACATGAGTCTGTGGTGAGTACTGTAGATGGGTATGAATGAATACAGCAGCATGAGATCAGCAGCATGAATAATCAGCAGCACATATAAGTCACCTATCACCAATTAAAGTGGCATTACAGTGATTGTTCTGGTTAGGGATTCATGAGTCTAACAGCTTCAGGGTAGAAGCTGTTCCTCAATCTAGTGGTTCTACACTTAATGCTCCTCAACCTCCTTCCTGAGAGGAGTGGGGCAAAGAGTGTGTGTGCTGGGTGAGTGGGGTCCTTCATGATGCAGGTGGCTCTCTTCCTGCATCTGGAGGTGTAGATGTCTGTGATGGTGGGGAGATTGACTCCAACAGACTTCTGTGCAGCCTTCACCACTCTCTGCAAAGCTTTTCTTTCTGCAGCTGTGGAGCCTCCATGTCACACATTGATGCTGGAGCACAGGATGCTCTCCACTGCACACCTGTAGAAGGAGGTGAGGACTGAGCTTCACCAGTCCAGCTCGTCTCAGCCGCCTGAGGAAGTAGAGTCTCTGATGAGCTTTCTTGATCAGGCTGGTGGTGTTGTTGCACCAGCTGAGGTTGTCAGGTGCACACCCAAGTACTTGTAGCTGGAGACCACTTCCACTGCAGATCCTCTTAAGTTCATGGGGGGTTGCTATGTCTGAAATCCACAACCATCTCCTTCATTTTCTTTATATTGATGTGAAGGTTGTTCTTCCTGCACCAGCTTTCCAGGTGTTCCACTTCCTGCCTGTAGCTGCAGTCATCGTTGTTTGTGATGCATCCAACCACCACTGTATCGTCTGCATACTTTACAATATGACAGCCTTATTTGACTTATTTGTTCATTTACCATTACTTCTCTGAATAATACAGTATTCAGTCAAGTTTATTTTGTTCTTCTCCGAAACCATACAATTGCTGTCTTACATTGTTTTATTGTTTTTGGTTCTCATTTTTGCTTTGCTTTGTAAAATATGTTGTTTTTCTGCTTCTCCTGCACTTTGTTTAATTTTTTAAAGTACAATTAATGTTGAGTTCTTCAATCTTACCATGTTCTGTCAACCATTAACAATATTTCCCGTGTGGTATGAATAACAAAATGAAACATTTCCTGTGACAAAAAAAAGCTCCATCATGTTATTGCTAACCGGTTGGTGTAGCTTAGCTTAAAAAGATAGTCTATTTTAAAGTGATGTTCTGTCAAAAATAAATAATATAATACTTTATCAGTCCGCCACATCAGTGATAGAGCAGTGTCTAAAAAAGAGACAAAAACTCTTCATCCAGACTTAGATAACAACTTGTCAAACTACATTTGTGTACTAAAAAAACTTTGTTTGATTGAGGAAACAGCAATTACTGTAACTAAATGACAAGTGTTATGCAAAATAGGTCTAATATTAGGTAATGAAGCCTTCTTTCACACTGGTATTTTTTTAGACAGTTATTTAAAAATCTTGAAAAAGGATAAACAACTATCCTTCATTTTGCTAGCCTTAGCCTAGCCTGGCCACAGACTTTTAATACAATTCAATTAATTTGATTTATATAGTGCAGATTCAAAACAAATGTCTCAAGACACTGTACAAAAACAGACACATACATTATAAAATGCTAATTAGTAAAAATGTATCTAACCAAGTAAGCCAGCAGATTGCATCAAATCAGTACTTCGCTGCAGTCTCCCATCCTGAGCAAGTCACACAGGCGACAGTGGAAAGGAAAACTCCTTTTAAACAGGAAGAAAACTCCAGCAGAACTGAGTTCAGGATAGGAAGCCATCTGCCTCGACTGCCCTTTTCTCCATATTCTGTGCTTCTTCATTGATGCCATGGCTGATAAGTTACTATATGAGCAGTTTTGCAAAATTGCAGTGACATAACATCAAGAGATGAGGTCAAAGGCCAACGGGGATGAACGAAGGCACGTTGCAATGTAAGATTCAACATACGTTCTCAAACTCACCTTGAGAAATGTTTACATTTTTTAAGCTAAATATTACGATGTGAATCAGTCTGATTGATTCCATTTCTTCCAAAGTCAATGCAGCGTTCTCATTTGCCTATTAACACCCCCCCCCCCCCCCCCCCACCAACATTACATTACATTACAGCACTTTGGTTGGCCTTGTTGCTGTTTTAAGTGCTTTATAAATAAAGTGGTATGGTAACATTTTCACATCATAGCTTAAACAACTGAACCAATCAATAATTACAAAATATTTAAAAAATCAAATGAAATCACCTAAATAATCTAATATGAAATGGAACACCTAACGTGTCTATATACTTGCTGTGTTTACTTGTTTTTTATCCTGATTGAAACTATGACCTTGACCTTGACAAACAAAATGGTGGTCTGATTATATGTTATGGCTTGTTGATAACTACGCACTGAACAAAACATTGGTTAAAAAATGACCAAATAATGTCTCAACAAAAAAAAAAATCCCAGAACTACTAGTATTGTCCCAGATTGTTTATAAAGTCAAGTTTATTTTTTTGTCTTGTGCTTTCTATTTTTGTGAGAAAGGTTTTGAAGAAAACATTTTCCAGAAGTTGCTAGATTTGTCCTTCCCCCAGCTGTAAATTATTATAGCAAAAACTGTCCTTGTGAGATTTAAAGTGTAAACGTCATCAGGGTTAAAGAGCTAGAGCTTTTCTCTGGACTTTAAATGCTGGCACCAGCTGTTCAACAATCGCACAGAGCGAAAAAAAAAAAATCCAAGATAAGACGGGGCAGGATTAATTTATCTAAAAGACTTTGCAGCCGTGGATCAGTCCAGTGCTTCAGCCTTAATGGATATTCTCAGTAACAGTTTAAAAATCCTTCAGAAAAATATCAAATTAGACCCAGAGGAGAAAAAACCAGCTTAAAACAGAATAAGAGAATCTTGTTGCTCAGCATCAGTGGATTCTTCTCATTTCTGCTGTCTGCAAAGTCATTTTGTTTGCTCAGCCAAACATGAGGTGGCATTCAGTTTAGATGTGCGAGTAATCCCGCTCGGCTTTAATGTGAACGTATGTGGCTGCAGTTGTTCATTCAAGTAAACTAGATTGGGATGGATGTGTAAACGCAGCAGGTAGATGAAATTGTAATGCCTTTGCTTGTCTGAGGGAAAAACAATCTCATGAACCAGATGGACGTTGAATATCCCAGGAAGTAATCATTGGCTGTACCGGTACTTATAAAACTGTGGCAACATGACTTAATATGGCTACCACCGCTTCTTAACTTTAGGAAACACAAAACGGCTACTTCAGTTACTTTAACAGATACCAGGCTAGAAATTGGTAGCAGCTGAGATGTTCACACATAATCCAAGCACAGGATTTGATCACAATGGCTGTAACCCTGTCTTTTTCCAAATACTGATGGTCTAAGTGTAGCACTACCACATGAAAGGATGTGGGTGATACTCATTTCTTCAAGAGATGCTAAGCCTTCTGAGACACAACCGCTTTCATAACTAAATATGTCAAACTGAGCAGGCAGTGCGGTGAAACAGTGGTTAGAGCTGCTGCTTCTCAGTCAGAAGACAGGCAGATCACCTCTCGGCCTTTCTGGGTGGAGTCTGCATGTTCTCCAGGGGCAATTCTAGGACCTGACTTTCAGGGATGCTTAGCCCCCAGTACAGACTTGGCTTGAACAAGGCACCCCATGGTGTGGTTTTTGAGAAGTGCAAAAGCTTACAGCACCTGGTATTCCCAGGCGGTCTGCCATCCAAGTACTAATCAGGCTAGCTTTCGAGATCAGGCATTTTAAGGGTGGTATGGCCGTAAACGAGGAGCTCAGTCACACTTAAAGGATCATAACAAACAAAGACCAAACTTATGCAACCAGAAGTTGCAACAAATATCTACAAACAAAACAAAGCACAAGCATTAACCTTTAATTTAAGCATTAACCTCTGACTGCAAAGTATTTACAGTGCCTTGAGAAAGTATTCGTCCCCCTTGAACTTTTCAACCTTTTGCCACATTTCAGGCTTCAAACATAAAGATATAAAATTTTTATTTTTTGTGAAGAATCAACAACAAGTGGGACACAATTGTGAAGTGGAATGAAATTTATTGGATGTGTCAAACTTTTTTAACAAATAAAAAACTGAAAAGTGGGGCGTGCAATATTATTCGGCCCCCTTGCGTTAATACTTTGTAGCGCCGCCTTTTGCTGCAGTTCCAGCTGCAAGTCTCTTGGGGTTTGTCTCTATCAGTTTTGCACATGGAGAGACTGAAATTCTTGCCCATTCTTCTTTGCAAAACAGCTCAAGCTCAGTGAGGTTGGATGGAGAGCGTTTG